GGAACAAGGGGAGGAAAACTGACCTTAGCCAGCGTACTCCGCGGACGTCCAAGGCGGCGGCAATGCACTACACGGTGGATTGCAGCAGCGGACACAACATGGTGTGCAGCCTTTTTTTTTTGCGCGGGGACTTGGAAAAGTATGGGGTTGGAATTCAAATTCTTAGCGCCTCGGCCCTGGAGGGCATCTCAGGAAGATGCATCCCCCACAGAAGGGCAAATCGGACAGGCAGCAGGGGAAATAGGACCGCCGGTCCGGTAGGGGCATTCCAAAAAGTTGTGCCCCTCACTGACAGGGGCCTGTTCAAAAGTTCAGAGGCCCAGGGGCAAATCAGGGTAAGTCGGCCGTCGGAGGGGCAAATCGCAAATTAATGCAAACTTCAGGGGCATTTCGAAAATTTTCCCTTTTACTTTCTATTCCCGTGCATAGCCTGGGCATCTCTTGCAGTGTCAAACCTGAGAGGTAAGAGGAGGGGTCTTTTTTTTTTTTTTTTTTTTTTTCCGACCATTTTCTCGATTCATGCATGTAATCTTCTCTGTACCGTTTGAATTTTAATGGATGTCCCGAAGGACAGGAGGGGGGGCAACTTATCACCCGAAAAAAAAAGAAAAACCATCACGATGGGCAGCGAGCTTGGACTGAGGCGAGCTTGGACTGAGGGGCTGATCCGACTTCTCTTCTTTTCGGGGGGGGCCCGCTCCTTGAGGAACGGAAAAGTGATTTTGGATCCCACTTGGCCGACAATAGCGGGACTTTTACGATGTTGGCGGCGGCCCAAGGGGAAAGGAACGTGCTGTCACACAGAGGAAAGGACCACGTACCCCACCTGATATTGAAAAAAAAAGACAAAAAAATGCCGGCCTTCTTTTTAGGACCAGGGATGGCCATCCTCTACTAAGTCTTTTGGTTTTTGGTAGAACTACTGCAGCGTGAGTTGCGGACAACTGCCACATAGACATTTATTTCCTCTCCGAGACCGACGGGAAGACCTGAGAAAGTGTGAAGAAGTGGGATCCCAGAAAATGCCACTTCTCCCCCAAAAGAAGAGTACTAGTCGTATCGGCCTCTACTTGTTCTCAGCCGAAGCCGGGTAATGGCCCCGGTATCTCAAAAATGTCCTCAAAAGACGTCAAATTTTCTCAATGATCTGTATAATTCGATATGGGACGCTGGGCCGGTTCTCAGCACGTGCTGCTCCCCACGAATAGACTGGAGCATTTTTTCAAAAAAAAAAAAAAAAAAAAAAAAAAAAAGTCCTATCAGCCTCTAACCTGCCCTCTTTTTTTCTTTTTACCACTCAGACCATAGACTGTTATATCCTGGGGTCTGGTCCCATTAGCAAACTTAAGAGAATTGGATTGAATTCCTGAATGTGGATGTGTTTTGCGTAGAGATGCAGAAAAGCATATCGATCGCAATTCGCTGCATCTTTCTACAAACAAGTCCTCAGGAATAAAAAAAATTCAATCCTCCCCAGGCTGGTGGTTTACTCCTTATATGTCCTTATGATAGTGTAACTCTCTATATCCTGCCGATCAGTTCGCAGTCCATTCTCTGCCACGTTCATTTAAAAAAGGTCATAAATTAATAATAATGCGAATCTCATTTTGGCTTGCGCATTGCGGACGTAGGTGTTTATTATCTGTTTATTATTTTCTCAGATTTGCTTGCTTTGATCTTGCTTTTTTCTTCGCATTAATCATTTATTGAAAATCAATGAACTCTTGCGTACAGGCTTGGGCGCTGGGCCTTTTTAAAAATAACATTGAGGTCTGGTTGTTATTGAGGTCTGGTTTTCTACCAAAAAAAAAAAACGCCAAAAGAATGATATAGAGAAGATTAGCTCGCCCCTCTCACGCAAGGAAAATTGAGAAATAGTCCAAACAAGACTGAAAAAAAAAACAAAAAAAAACGAGTGAGTTGTTACTAAAGCGTTGTCTTGTCTTCTTCTGTCTATTTGTACAGTGAGGTGCAGCAGGCAAAGGCAAGATGTGAACGCTAAAGCGTTAACTTAAAGACTATCGAGGGAGGCAAGATGTGAACACTAAAGCGTTAAGACTTTTGAGGGAGGCAAGATGTGAACACTAAAGCGTTAAGACTATCGAGGGAGGCAACGCCGGGCATCATTCCCACGTCCGGGTGCATCCATCTGCATAATTGCTGCAAGAAGGCGCTGACGAAAAATTCGACAACGGATGAGATCCGGATAAAACTCCATAGGGAGAGGCTTCAATGGAGGGGTCCCGGACTGCTCCGAGAAAGGGCAGGGGCTTGCAATTTGTGCTTGTTTTTATTTTTTTGTCATTTTTCTCCATGCGGACATGCCTCGCTGCTTCACCCGTGCCTGCACCCGGCAACGCAGGTGCGGTCTCGCCGGCGGGCATGGGTGAGGCCATGCCATTGAAGGCAAGAATAGAAGGGAAAGGTTTGAACCTGACCGAACCAAATGCGATAGTGGACGGAAGTGACAGAATGAGAGACGTCCGTAACGAGACAAAGATTGCCAATGTGACGGGGGTGACACTCGACAAAGAAGAAAGAGAGATGGTGGTTGAAGCTACTAAGAAGGCAGACAAGGTGCCCAAGAATAAGACAAAGTGGCCGACGCATCCCACGTTCGGTCAACGAAAAATCGTAAAAACCACCCCGCAGCTGCGAGTGTACATTGAGGAGATGGCATTGAACGAAGGAGGAGAGGGAGATAGAGAGGGGAGAAAAGCACGGGAAGGAGGGGGTGCTGGCACAACGGAGGCGGGAGGAGGGGCATTGCCAAGCGTAGATAGACAAGGGGACCGGAAGGAAGATGTTCAAGAGGGAACCGAGCAAGCGGCTATGGTGGTCATCGAGGAGCTGGAGCTGTCTGAGGAGGAGAAGAAATGGATAAACTTTCACAAAGTATACTGGAAAGATTTGTCTGGAAAGATTGTAGACCAGATAGTGAGCATTTGTGTCGCATGTAGCGACCCCACCCTCTTTCATCGTGCAGTGCACGACAAAGAGCTGTGCGAGAGCCAAAGTTCGAGTCCAAGTCGTCGAGGTTTCGTCCAATGTTCCAATGAACATTATCCTCTCAATAGATGTGAGAAGATTCAACGAGATCTTCTTGCTAAACTTAATGCCACATCGAGAGAGGGGAATGTATTCTCGCATGACGTGCATCACCCCTGGCCGTTTCGCATGCCCCATCTTGTGAAGATTCGAAATGCGTACGTGTCAACTACCGGACACATTTACAATGACGATATGGTTTACGATCCACGTGGCGGGTGCACACGAGCCGTCGACTCTGTCATTCGACCTGAGCTGGCGAGAACTCGCCGGCACTTCAAGAAGGTGTTTGTCGCGGATCACGTCTTTCCTGGCATCCACCACGAGCTTGCAGAGATGGCTGCTCAGCTGATGAGCTACTACCCACAATTAATGGGGGACAAATCGATCATGATTCACACAACAGGGGAGGGGACGCCGCCACCAGGGGTGCCCAAGGAGGAGGGAGGATGTTGGCCGAAGCAGTCTGCCATACGCTTGATCGACTTTCTGGGCTTCAATGGTTCGAGGCTTGTGGCTGGTGATGTGTATGCCGACGAAGTCATCGTAACACACATGTACTGCTGGTTCATGGACTGGACTTTCCGAATTTATGGCAAACGATTAGGTAGATTAATGACTACCATTGCAGCACAGGCAGCGCAACGTCCGCAGAATCGATCTGGAGAAGCGGAGACGAGTCATGGCTCAGCAACCAGTAGTAGTTACCTCACTACGGGGGGCGGCAAAATGGAGCAGAAGCCTGCAGGTCCAGGGGATAACACAACTGCCAATAGTACTAACAACACGGCAGCCGACAAAAAGGAGCCACCTTTTCTTCTTCCTGCAACGTCCGGTGGTAGTAATTCCTCCGCTATGAAAGAGGAAGTGGACCCCCTCCTTCCTCCTGTGGGCCAAGGGACGATTCTTGTGATTAAGCGCAGCGGTAGGCGAAGGATCAAGAACCATGACGAACTCGTTGACGCCTTGAGGAAGGCACTGGATGAAGGAGGAGAAGAAGAAGGAACAGGAAGCGATGGAGGTCATGAAGATCATATTAACGGTACCGGAATCATAAGAACGGATAGGGAAAGGAGAGACGGGGGTAGCTCGCTGGCCTCAAATGTCTCCTCCGCTTCCTCCTCTCCGTCCCCCTACTCCTCCTTCGGCCGTCGAAGAATCTTGGAGATTTATGATGATAACCTTGTCAGGGATATGGGTGAAATATGGCGGCTTTTCATGAGGGCCGATATTGTCATAGCTCCGCATGGTGCCGGTCTCACTAATGCTCTTGCGAGTAGAGACGGCACAGCCATCTATGAAATTCTCCTGCCCTTCCACCTTAACTGGGAAGGTTCTTCTCTTTGCTTGTGCTATAGAGATATGTGCTCCATCCTTGGTCTCCATTACTATAGTGATCTACCGACGAAAATCGAGCTGGACAGATTTGAATTCGATGAGGAGCAAAGCAGGTGGGTACCCCAGCCCCTTGCGATGATCATCGATGTGCCTAAGACAATTGCAAATGTGAGGCAGATATTCAAAGAGAGGGGTTGGAAATTCCCTTAATTTCTGAATTTCAATGCATCCCATCATCTCTATTCACCTCTCTCTCTCTCTCTCTCTCTCTCTCTCTCTCTCTCTCTCTCTCTCTCTCTCTCTCTCTCTCTCTTATCCCTGCACCTGCATTTCCCCCCTTGTGCACGTTCCGAGGACTACTCGGTCACATCTGCATCTGCCTGGATGCCGACGTTCTGGCGACAAGTTATCCTCCGACTGACTTTCTGTCTCTCTTTCCATATGTCTGTCTGTTGATCCCTCTTTCCCTCCCTGTGCTTATGTGTATGTCTGTCTCTTCCGCTGCCTAACACACCGTCTCTGACTCTGTTTGCTTGTGTCTGTCTACCTGTCTGCCTGTCTGCCTGTCTCTTCGTGCGTGGGTCCGTCTACCTGCCTCTCCATCTGTCTCTCTCTCTCACACACACAAGCTGCAAGAACAAATGGAAGGGGTACCCCAAGGATAACCACAAAACTGTCCAAAACACACACACACACACACACACACACACACACACACACACAGTCTGTCTGTTGTTGTCACAGGTCTAGAATAACAGTATGCTGGGGTTGCATTGTTGGTATCGAGCACCTTTGTGAGAGGTTTTGCTAACTCTGGGCCACGTCGTGCCTCCTTATCCATCAGTCTTACGGTTGGGATCGAACTGAGTCTCCGCATGTGTTCGTGAAAATCCACAACCTGCTGAGAGGACGAGCGAAGAGACTGGGATCGAACCTATAACCTCTGGGTTGCAAAGCCAAGCCAGAGCCTCTCACCAACAGTAACTGACTCAGCTTTTTTACAAAAGAACAGTACTCACCCAGAGGGCAGAAGCCAGCCACTGGGAGCACAGAGGAAGTGGCATGAAATCTGAGGATCACAACAGTAGAAAGATGAAAGGTGACTCGGGACGTGCCAGCCGTCACCCACCCAAACTCTTACAGCGTTGTGTGCCACGTCTCAACCACGCAGAGTCCCCACCATGCCTTGAATCACAGCCCATGTTTGTTTTTCTTTCTTTCTTCTTTCTTTCTTTCTTTCCAGATCATGGTCACCTTCCTTCTTTCCTTCTTTCTTTCTTTCTCTTGGGCAGTGCTCAGATGACAGATTTTTTATTCCCTCACCAGACTGCAGACCAGGCCCAGTCCCCTTCCCCCCC